GGGGCAGGGCGCCGTGCCGTCCGGCCCGGGCTCCCCGGCCACGCGGCTCAGGCAGGCGCGGCAGAAGCTGTGGCCGCACTCGGCTGTCACGGGGCCGTCGAACAGCTGCAAGCACAGCGGGCAGGACAGCTCCTGGCGCAGGAGGCCCGGCGCGGCCGACATGGCGGCCTGGGTGCAGGAGAGGTCAGTCAGGGAGACTCGGCGGGTCGGGGAGCTGCCCGGCCCCAGCTCCAGAACACCCCCTATCCGGGACGTTTTCTCGGGCCCAGTCCTCAACACGAGCCCGGCTTGCAGCTAGCCTTACCCGCTGCCCTCCCCGGTCTTAGCCCCAGGTTCTCCAAAGCCCCCAGGCCAGACCCTCCCTGACTCCCCTCCCCAGAGTCCCCTGCCTTCCCGTCCCCAAGCCTCCAGGCCCACAGGATCCACAGGACTCACAGGTCTGGTTGGAGATCTTGGGCAAAAAGAGATTCCCAGGAGGCTCAGTCAAGGTCAGGCCTAACCAGCCGCAGGCAGGGGGTCAGCGTTGCGTCTGAAGATAGGTGAGAGGCAAGCAGCAAGCTCAGAGCAAGCACGGGGACTGGCGGAGGGGCAGCTAGCGGCGGACCCCACAGGTGATGGCAGCACTGAATAGCAGGATCCTCCCAGACTAAGCCTGGCCCCAGGGCTATATTTAGCTGCCCTGCCTCTGCCTCCCAACATTTCTGGAAACCATTCTAAAAGTGAAGACTGAGTAGTCAGGGAACAAGCAACACATGTCAAGGCCACCTGTCCTGGCCCATCCCACTGTCCCCTCCCCTGCCCAGTCTGAAGCCACAGCTCAGAGCTAGCAGGAGACAGGGCCTCTCCATACCAGAGAGAGGAGATTGGTCTGCCCTTTCTCTCCCACCCCCACTTCCACAATCTCCAGCTTCCCCTTCCCCAAGTGTGGCCCCTCCCCAGCTTGTCACCCCTTATTTCCCAGGCTTATGGCTCTCCAGGTCACACTGACAATATCATCTCCCCCTGCAGAAGGACAGGACCTCGCCCTACACTGAAAGGTTTTCTTCCTCCAGAGCTGAGAGAAGAGTCTTTTTTCTGTCTCTTCAGAGCTCAGCACAAGGCCAGGGACAAAGTTGGCCTCCTTAAATGCTTGAAAAATAAATGGTAGAGTGACAATTTAATAAATAAATGAGCTGAATCCAGAGCCGGCAGCCCAGAAGTCCATTCTGCCCTGGATGCCTCAGGCCTTCCTGTATGCTTGTCCTTGAAATCTCAGTTTAAATTTCATTCAGAATAAAAACCAAAGTCCTCACTGTGGCCTACAAGGCTCTACCCAATTCCACCCCATTTCTCTCTCACCCCTCAGCCCCCACTCACTCCAGCCTTGGCCTTTGCAATTGCCATTCCCTCTGTCTGGACAACTCTTTCAAACCCAGATCTTTGGCCTAAGTCACCTTTTCAGTGAGGTTTTTTGTAACTCCCTGATTTTAAATCTCACATCTCCCTTCCCTGCTTTCCTTTTCTTCATCACATTTATCAGCACCTGACATGCAATATATTTAACTTGCTGGTTTTTCACCTGTCTCCTCCTACCAGAATATAAGTTTGTTCACTGCTTGTCTGCAACTTAAAGTGAGTGGCACACAGCAGGTGCTCAACAAATAACCAACAAAAATCGACACAAAAACTCTTGGCCTCCCGGTCACACCTCTCAGACTTTACCCTCAACCGCTGTCTGTCTCTCTCAGAGATTCTGTTTCTATCTCAGTATCTTCTCCTTCTTGGACTTTCTCTGTGCCTCTCTCTTGGGTTTTTAATGTTCATATTTATGAATTTTATCCCAAATGTGCACACAAGGTGTTCTGGAACAGAGATAGACTTCTCATTAAATGCCTCACAGTAAGCAGTTCACGAGGATGATGCCATGAGAGCCAGTCCATTATCCTGTGAGAGTAGCCACAGACCCCACAGGTGAGCCACAGGAATTATCTTCCTGCTTATAAAAGGGAAGGAGGTGCCCTGGCTGGTGTGCCTCAGTTGGTTGGGCATCGTCTGGTGCCCCAAAAGGTTTCTGGTTTGATTCCCCATCAGGGCACATGCTCAGGTTGCAGCTCAATCCCCAGTAGGGGGCGTGCAGGAGGCAGCTGATCAATGTTTCACTCACATCAATGTTTCTCTCTCTCTCCTCTCCTCTCTCTAAAAATCAATAAAAAAATCTTTTTTTTTTTTAATATTTTTAAAAGGTGGGGGAGGAGGCAGCTGTCCCCTCCTCTGCTTAAAGGTCTTCTTACCCTAACTCTTTGGCAGGTAAATAAACCTCCCCAGGGGTCAGACATCTCCTTGCACATCTTGGCTTTTATGACAAATCTCCAAGTTCTGGATTTGTCTCCAAGCTGTGGGCTCATTTCTTCTTGAATGCTTGAAGGTCTTGCATGTTGCATGCTGGCTCGCTTAGGAAGCTACTCCAGGCTTCCTGGCACCTTGGGGGCTTAACCTAGGACCTTTGTTCAGGCTGTAATCACCTGGGCCTCTCAGAAGGAGATAAGAGTTCTGTGGAGGTGTTGTTTTTTTGGATTGGAGCAATTAACTGTACAAATGACTCCAGATTTAATTCTCATGATATGTGAGCAGTCTCAGGAAGCTAAGGCTTTTTACCAGAACCCTGAGAAATCCAGAGAAGTTTGATATCCCCACTGTATCTCTAAGTCTCTGGTTTTCTGTCTGCAATTTTTGATGGCTCAGACTTGGCCTGGGGTTGGCAAACAGGAGGGAGGTGGGGATAAGAGTGCATCTGGAGCTGGTCTCTGAAACCATAAGCCATTTCGCTTTGGTTCAGAAAAGCCAACATCCCGAAAGTAGATTTCACCTGGAGTTTTCATCATGCCAGGCTGGGGCTGAGGGTTTCGGTCAATAGGAGTGGGAACCCAGGACAGGGAGGTGACAGTCAACTCATTCCCTCTCTGTAGATGGGCTGGGTCTGACCTGTGACCATTAGATGGGACAGTGATTGTCTACAACAGGTTGGAGGACAAGAAGGGGCCAGAAATCATGTATAGGCGAGGAGGAGGGGAGGACAGTGCCGCTGACCCTAAGAGAGAGCTGGGGCCCACAGAGCTCAGAGGGGGCAGGTTTTAGCTTGTCCTAAGGGAGGGCTTCCCAAGAGCCG